TTTTAGTTGTCCAGCTAATTTCTTTCTATTTTTTTAGTAGAGATGGGGTCTCACTCTTGCTCAGGCTGGTCTCCAACTCCTGAGCTCAAATGATCCGCCCACCTCGGCCTCCCAGAGTGCTAAGATTACAGGCATGAGCCACCATGCCTGGCCAACGTCTCTTGTAATCTAATCAAAGAAGTGATATCCCCTCAATGTCGAGGCATTCTTCTGGTTAGAATCAAGTTACCGAAGGGGAGAAGATTATAAAAGGCAATGAATATAGTAGGCAGGGACTACTGGTGGGAGGGCATCTTAGAAGCTACCTACCACAGAGACCACATTACATTTAGTTGCCATATCTTCTTGGTCTCTGCTGACAGTTTCTCAGTCTGTCCACCAAGAAGGCCTAGAAATTGTGCTATTCCAGAAACAACGAGCACATCTAGTATTTCTAAATGCCATTCTTCAGTAAAAGGAACCAGGCCTCCTAGAGAAATGGCCGATTTTAAGGCTGGAGCAGAGAAATACAATATGAGCCTGGATCATCCTATAGTGTTAGAAAGTAAGGAAGTAACTGAAAAAAAAAATGAGAGCATATAAGGTTACAGAAGCCAACCTGAAAGAGCTCCCAATGGCCAAAGCTGGAACAATTTGAGCAAAAACAACAACAAAAATGGTAGTATTGAGTTATAGTCCAAAAAATAAACATCCATGATTCCATACTTATATAAATAAGTGATATGATTGAATAAATAAGTAAATGCTGAGAGCCAGGTGCAGTGGTGCACGCTTGTAGCCCCAGCTACTTTGGAGGCTGACACAGGAGGATTGCTTGAGCCTGGGAATTCAAGGTTGTAGGTAGTGTGCTCTGATCATGCCTGTGAATAACCACTCCAGCCTGGGCAACTTAGCAAGACCCTGTATCAAATAAATACATACATACATGCATACATACATACTGGAGAAAGAATTCCAAATAAATACAGAAGGAATGAAGGAGGTAGAAAATTCCCATTAGAATACCACAGTAATAATTATGGCAGGCAAGATCCACTAAATGCTAAAACTAGTGAGCAAAACTTTAAGGTGAAACACAATAATTGCAGAGCCTTAAAAGTGTCACCCCGAAAATATATACTAAATATTGGATTCTCATTTCTCCAAGAGATGGAGCTTAATTCTCTTCCTGCTCTTGAATGTGAGCTGGACTTCGGGATTGGTTCTAATAAAAAGAGTATGGATATGCCTTTATGGGTCTTAGAGAAGAATAAAAAGAGTATGGAAAGTGAAAAATAGTAAACTTACAGTGGAAAAACCTGGTAGACACCACCTTAACCAATAGATAAATGTTAACATCATCAGTAATAAGACATACTGTTATCATACACCCTCTGATATGATGCAAGGAAAATGGCATCTCACTTTTGTGGTATTCTTTCTCCAAAACCCATAACCTCAGTGCAACCATGACAAAGAGAAACCCAAATTGAGGGACATTCTACAAAATACTTAACCGGAATTCTTCAAATGTGCCAAGGTCACAAAAGACAAGGAAAGACTGATATATTTAAGCAAATACAGTCATATTTGTCTCCATCTGTTAATTCTGGCTTTTTTTTTCTTGCCATGAGACTGAAGCTGGTGTCATTATAGAGACATGTTTATCAAGGCTCCTCAGTGTCTTTTATACCCAGCTGTACTGGTCTGTGATCATCTCTGAGTGAGGGGAAGCAAGTAGTAAGCCCTATGATTGTTCCTTCTTTTTGCCTGGGTCAGTTTTAGGCTCTCCCTGCCGGAAAGTGCAGCCTAGGCAGAAAATAGCAATACAGCTGAGCTATGGAGGGAGAAGACAGATTTGGGGGCTGCTGGGACCTCAGTCTATCAGGCATGGCACTGGAGAGAAAGGAACTTTGTAGAGGTGAAGTTCCAAAAATCACCATAGGCTTTACTTTAGGTCTTTCGCTTAGTACAAAATGCAGCTTAGAATTTTGGCCAAACACTAAACTGTGCAGGCTTAGAGTGAGATGCTGCAAGGCCAGCGAGGGAACAGTCCCAGGCTTATGTGAACTGAATGGAGATTCTAGGGGTTGCACAGTTCTGTAAGAATTTTGAACAGCTTGGGTGGAGAGTCCTCAGCCAATATCCCACTGAGAAACAGAGACCCCAGAAAGGCCATTCAGCCCTAGAGTAAGGATTACTGTAGATCCTCTCTAACATATCCAAAAACATGCCTCAAAAGGATCAAGCTGTATTGTGGGATTTATAATGTATCTAGATATAATATACATAATAACACAAAGAACAGTATTTGGTAAATGAAAACACTGTTGCAAGGTTTTTCCACCTTACATGAAAGGGTACAAAATTAACTTTAAGTTGACTGTGATTATTTTTTTTTACTCTTTTTTTTTTCTTTTTTGAGACAGAGTCTTGCCCTGTTGCCTGGTAGAGTGCCGTGGCGTTGGCTTAGCTCACAGCAACCTCAAACTCCTGGGCTCAAGTGATCCTTCTGCCTCAGCC